GCTCTTCCTATTGAATCATATCTAATTGGTTTCCGTCCAGAATTTCAGCTTTTCCAATTCACTTTGATTATTGAAACTATGGTATTTAGCAATCAGTCCCCACTTATTTGGTATGATCTGCTGATTTTTATCTCTAGTAGACTCAAAACAGATAAAAGAATGATATTTATATAGTGGAATGCTGCTCCTACTTTTACGTAACACCATTTAGTTGAGCAGCTAGGCATGAAGTTGTGTAACACTTTCTGGACACAATTCCTATCTAAAAGCAGAGTTTAGTACTGTGAAAAAGCCAGCAGAGGGCACACAAAGTCTTAATTTGGATTTCTTTAAGCAAGGAATAGTCTTAAAAAGCACCATGGTAAAGATTGATTTATATTTCATGTGAAAACTGAGCTGACTTCACGTAATAAATGGGAAAATGGAGGATGCGAAGAGAAATTTAATATTTGAATGTATACTGATTTTATATTTTATATATATGTATGTCCCATTATGCACCCACACATTTTTAGGCTTTTGCAGCATCTGTATTTATGTATGGTCTAGTCCAGGGGTGTCAAATTGGTGGCCCACAGGCCAGATGCATCATATGCAGGCCATGCCTACTCCAGCTCCACGAAGCAAAAAAAGTCATGATACGTCACGTGACAACAATGTGACGCCATGAGTTTAACACCTGTGGTCTAGTCAATATCAAGGGATATTTTAGATATATCCTTAAGAAAAGATTATCTGTGAACATCTCAATTTTTTTTGTTTACTTAAACATGGGATAATATTTACATACCCAGTAATAATTCTTACTATTTAAGGTAACTGATGAAATAACTTCATTTTGAAATGGCTCAACATTTTAATTATCTTTCCGTGGGGCCTTAGGGTTAGGGTCATTATCCTGTATAAGGACTAAGATTCACGAGAGCTACTTTATTACTTGAAGATTGCAGCTCAATAGTAAATCAGAATATTTGTCTTCCTTCTTTCCTTCCTTCAAATGGTGGTCTTTACCAGTGCAAAGGAAATATAAGTATTCCTTAACTTCTATAAAACTCTTTGCTTTCCCATTATTCAGTATCCTGCTTGTAAAGTAGGCACACAACTGTTGCAATAAACATGTCTCTTTCTCTTCAGTGCTGTCTGCTTTTGAATTTTCCGTCATATTTTTTACTTGTTCCATACAAGGAATGGAATAAAGAGACAAGACACTTTGAGTAAGTTGCTTAGAGATGACCAGACCAATCCTAACTTTTCTTATATCTTTCTAAGGCTTTGTATGAAATTTAAAAAGCAGTGTGTTTGCTACATCTTGGTATGGCCAATCATGGAAGAAAATTATTTAATTAGGACATTTATGTAAATGAAGACTCTATCATCTAGGCCAAAAGTATTTAAAAAGGTTAATCCATGACAAATACTTATTTAATAAACTTTGGTCCAGTTGCCATGATTTAATTGTTTAAGATAATTATTTAGAACACTTATATAGTCACGCAACTCAAACTGTGGTTCTGGGAAGCAAACCAACATGATAAAAAAAAGTAACACATGTTAAAAACAGCTGCCAGAACTAAAGTCTACAACATCTCACTGACTGGGAATGCTATTCATCCTGTTCCAGTGCCCAGGGACAGTTCCAGGTCTTTTTAAGGCCTGTAGAGATATCAGAATAAGCTTGAAGGAGGCATTAGCATTAGGCAGTGTTAAAATATTATGGTACCTGCTCAAGCAAGGCAGTCTGAATTTAAATCTCTTCCAAAACATCTAACCAGGCCTACTTTCCATCAGTGCTGTATTATTTCTAGCTTTTTCAGATTGACTTCTGACTCTGCATCCTAAAAACTCTGTAGAGTCATGAAACAAAATTCAATCAATGAAATACATTTTAAATCAATATATTAAGTTGGTCAAGCAATGACCTCCTACCATTAAATGCAGAGAAAGTGATGAGTTACCATGATAAAAGTAAAGAAATATGAAACTGATTAATCTGAATAGCTTAAAATGTAGTATATGTTGTTATTTCTAGTAACTCTTAACAGACTTTTGTTACTTAAGATTGAATAATGAGGTTTTATAATCTGTTTATAAAGAGATGAGATATGGGAAGAAGAGATCTTAAGTTGAAATGTTAGAGTGATAAATTATTGATATTATTTTTCACTTGTCTTGATAAAAGAAGAAGGGGAAAGTCATTTCTTCATATAGTTTCCTTTTTCGTATCTATATAGTTCTATATCTATATTTCTATATTCCCCATTTTTCCCTCTGCATTTTTATTTTTTTAATTTTATAGTTTTCTTCATTTGCATTAGTTTTTTAATCTTTGTATTTTTAAACTTTAATTTCCCTTTATTTACAAGCAATGCATTTCCTGGAATAACCTGCTTGTGGCACTCTTTCC